GACCGCTTAGTTAGTTTGCATCTATAATCTTCGATGTTCTTGTAGGAGCACTTTCTTGCCTGCATTACAATTCGCTAGAGACAATGATCTTCACATTACTCTTCACTGTGGAGAGGTATTATCAACTCTTGAAATCTACTTAAACGATTTTCTTATGTTATTTCTTCTACTTTCTCTATCTTAGTGCTTTGTAGGTCCCCAATCCGAAAGAAATCCAAGATATGCTTGATTTCAAACCGCATCGAATTGGTCATGCCTGTTTCTTCAAAGATGAAGATTGGACAAAGTTGAAATCTTTCAAGATTCCGGTAATAGTTCTGTTCTTGTTTAACTTGATAGTTTAATATCTTAAAGAAATTCGACATTACGCTTTATTTGTTGTAGGTCGAAATATGCCTAACATCCAACATTATAACCAAATCGATATCTTCGATTGATATTCACCATTTCGGTTAGATTCACAATCGCCTTTTTTCATTCTTTCGATGCATACAAGCCAAAATTTAAACCGCGGAGGGAGAATTAAGCAATTGGTATCTCTTGACATGATCTTAATTTGAATCTAACAGCTGATCTCTACAATGCAAACCATCCATTGATTCTATGCACTGATGATTTCGGAGTTTTCTCTACTAGTCTCTCCAATGAGTACGCTCTCGCTGTCCGTTCCTTCGGTAAATTTCCTCAACCCGAGCTCAAATCCTACAGTTACAGAGCTTTTGTGATTTCTGATTCTTTATAGTCTTGGTGGTTTAGAAGTTGTATACTCACAAAGAAACTACATTTTCAAGAATCTAATATTGTTTTCTTTCGTTTTTCGACGTTTAATTTTTATGAAGGTCTTAGTAAAAGAGAGACCTTTGCATTGGCTAAAACCGCCATAGACGCAACTTTTGCAGAAGATGAAGTTAAGGAACAACTTAGATTGATTTATGATTTAGCCTCTCGGGAGTATGTGTAGTGTTTCAGCTTTTACTCTGTTTTCTTTATATGATTGGTTTTTACCAAACCGGACCAATGTGTTATGGTTGGTTTATCGATTGGGGATCAGTTTTCATTCTTCTCGAATTTCGGTTATGTTCTTTTTGAGTAAATTTTGTTATTGCTGTGAACTTAAACCTGATCCAAACCTGAAAATTTTGAACCGTAGTTTGTTTACATTTCGGTTTAGATCCGGGTTCGGTACAGTACATCGATTAATCGTGACACGTGTACATAAAGCTTCCAGGTGTTTCATGGATCTTAACACGTGGCACAAGTCAAAACCTTCAAGCTTTGCGAAAACCTAGTCCTCTCTGATTCATCTTCTCCGGTGATTAAAAGGAACGAATCAAATTCGAAATTTCCGATTTAACCAAAACAGATTTTCAAATTCTCTGAAGACGAATTAACGTTTCGTTGATTCGATGGCGTTTTACAGATCTCTGAGAAACCTAACTGCAATCAATCACCGTATGACGAGACCATTCTTCACCGCCGCCTCCGCCGTAACTTCCGGCGGAACAGTTTCACTCCCACCGCCGTTTTCTCCGTTGTTCCCACATTTCTCTCACCGTTTGTCTCCGCTTTCGAAATGGTTCGTTCCTCTTAATGGACCTCTCTTCCTCTCTTCACCTCCTTGGAAACTGCTCCAGTCCGCGACTCCTTTGTATTGGCGTGGAAACGGCGCTGTTTTGAGGAAAGTCGAGGCTCTGAATCTTAGATTGGATCGGATTAGAAGCAGAAAGAGGTTAGGATTGCAGTTGGTGGAACCAAACGTGGATCGCAATTTGTCCAAGGAGGAAGTTGGAGGTAGAGGAAGTAGTGTTGGCATAATCGAGAGTTTTGTGAATGTGCCGAATATGATATCTATGGCACGATTAGTATCTGGTCCTGTGCTTTGGTGGTGGGTACGATAATCCTTTTTCTCAAGAAAATAGATTAGAGAATGAAGAAGCTGAGCTTTGATTATTCCTCTTCTATTGCAGGATGATTTCGAATGAATTGTATACTTCTGCTTTCATAGGGTTGGCTGTTTCTGGAGCTAGTGATTGGGTATTCATTGTTCTTTGTGAATTTTTGGATAGTGTTTTGGGAAGAAGAACATTTGTTTTTTGTAGCTTACTTGTTTAGATCCTTGATTTTTGTAGTTAGATGGTTACATGGCTAGGAGGATGAAGATTGATTCTGTGGTTGGCTCATATCTTGATCCTCTTGCAGACAAGGTAAAATCCTTTGATCTTTATGCTCATCGTGGATGTTCTTTGATTGTGTTTAGGGTTTAAGATAAGTTTGTAGTTTCAGTTTGACCTCAGCTTTCATGATTTTTCGTTTTCAAATTCCAGGTTCTTATTGGGTGTGTTGCGTTGGCAATGGTGCAGCAAGATCTTCTACATCGTGAGTAATCTTTTTCATCTCTTCTACTCCCTGGTTGAATACTGCTATCGCCGTTGGAATCAGGATTTTGTAGGTTCTACTTTCTAGTTTCAGTCCTTCGATCTCACACAGCTTTAAGAACAAACCTCCTTGGAAGGTTGTGACTTAAGTTTTTTTACCAAGCAGAAACCACATTAACTTGATTGACTAGTTAGTTGTCTTGGTTACAACATTGTCTTAAGTTTCGCTGATTCTAACCTCGACCTTGGTGAATGCATGTGACATTTTTGCTTTAAAGCTGGGCTGGTTGCGATTGTGGTGTTCCGGGATATAGCCCTTGTCGGTGGTGCAATTTATCTAAGGGCAGTAAACTTAGACTGGAAGGTGAAGCTCCACAACTTTGAACTAGAAAACTCAACCAGTTTTTCTTGTTTCTCTACATTTTTTTCCACTCAACCATGTATATGGTTTTAAGAAGAACACAAGCTGAGATTATTGATGGAAATCATGTTTGTTTGGCCATTTTTTCTTTCAGTGGAAAAATTGGAGTGATTTCTTCAACCTCGATGGTTCGAGCCCTCAGAAAGTAAAACCATTGTTTATTAGCAAGGTAAATGGTCTCTTAGTCAACAACTTGTGCTCAGGTTGGCTCTAAAGAACCATACACACAAAACATCTTTTGGTTGGCTAAAAGAATATTGTTATGTACAGGTGAATACGGTTTTCCAATTGGCTCTAGTCGCTGGCGCAATGCTTCAACCCGATTTTGGGAATCCAGATACGCAGACATGGATTACTTATCTAAGGTAATAGCTCTTTATTTCTGCAGTGTCGGGATTGAGCGCTGCCTTAAGTTATAACATAGATGGAGTGTGTTCTGAAATCTTGTTATTGGCCTCATTCATTTTGTATCCAGCTGGTTAGTTGCTTCTACGACCATGGCTTCAACCGCAGCTTATGGAGTACAATACATGAAGAAGCGACCTATTTCTATGATTAAGAGATCGTAGTTTCAGACATTTCAAAACTTCACACACTTCAGCTCCTACATACCGAAAAAAGCTTCAACACGTCTTGCTGCTTTCCGGAATCCGCAGCACTCACTGTTTTCTTTGCTAACTTGAATAGAAAAGAAGTCAGTAGTGGTTAACAAAGAAGCCTATGAACTATTGGAAAACGGTGTCTTGGCTTTTTCTTGTACAGGGAAAGAGGCTTTTCGGTTTTTTTCTTACGAGCTTCACTGGTAAAGATTTGTCTGGAAATGAGTGATCTATATAATCAAACCTTGGGGGAATGAGCGAATCTGTGATCTCTCGCCTCAGGAACCTGAATGAAAATATCATCTCTTGCTAAAAAACAGAGGATTATGCCTTGAAACATTGCAACATTTCTGGAAGTTTTGTGTACAATTTGAGTGTGTCACATATCCGTAAGCACTAAGAGCAACGCAAATCTGTATACACAACAAGATAAAAGAAAAGACAAGGAACCAAAACACACCCAACTACTGGAAACTACGGTGTGTGGGTCACAACTAGCGTGTCAGAGTCAATGTGTACCATCTAAAAAACCACACAACTGAATTGGTGTTCCAGTTTGGAAGATCAGAATCAGTCTTGGTGGATTTGATCGAACGGAGCAGCAGCAAACCTCACATCTTCCGGCCGTGCAACCACGACTGGTTCATCAGCAAACAAGGCTTTGAGGAACGATGGAGTTTTTAAAGGACGACGATTAGTCATTCGCGGATAAACCTCAGCCAGAAAGTAGTACGCGTGACCTGCTATCATACCCTGTAATGTTTCGGATAGGCTCAAGATTATGTTGGAGGATAAATATCAAAAGAGATTGGAGAAAAGTTTGGGAGAATTGAGTATTTACCAGAAGATCTACCCAAGCACTGGCACCAACAAGGATAGAGAAGCCGAGAAGTACCTACAAAAAAAGTTAGTTGGTTTAAGTAATACATTTCCGGGGATGATCATGAAGCAAAAGAGAGGACACGGAAAACTTACCCATGGTAGATAAGCTGCTGTGAAGGTGAAGAGACCAAGGAAACTCATGTGAATATAAGGATTTTGTTTGCTCCATACATAAACCTGTAGAAGGGAAGAGAGTGTAAAGCTGGTTTTTTTACGATGAATTTAGATTTGTGTGATAGAAGTTACAAACCATCATGAAAGTCAATGAGTTGCTGAGGAAGATGATTTTAGCAAATGATGCTGACAAGTAGGGTATCATTCCGCCGATGAGAACAATGCCAGTTAGAACAGTTGCTCCAAATAGAAGCATGTATAGGAAATCAGCAGTCTTTCCCCTAAATGAGTTTTCTTCAAGAAGTTTGCAGTATCGTGCGAGAAAGAACATATGGAACATGAAATCCAAATCTGCACAGAAATAAAGACATGTTCGATAAGCAGCGCAAAACTAGGCAATTGACATGTACAACTTTTTCAGTGGCCTAGAGCAAAAGAAAAAATTCAACTCAACCAACAAACAAAACAATACAGGAGGCTCTAAAGCTTTCTTAACATTTCTAATTCTCTACAATCGAAAAAAGGGAAATTACCCATCTTCCGGAAATACAAGAAATTTGTAACGAGACGCCAGAACTGGTATTGCTTCACCACAAGGGTCGGATTCAAATACAGGTTATATGGAGATATAATCTGCAAAACAAAAAAATTTGCTCAATCATTCGTATGGAAACCCTAATTCAGGTCAAACATTTGGAAAAGGGAATCAAAATTTGAGAGAAGATTCGAATTACATCGAGGGAACAACCAACGGTGGTAACAACAGCCGCCGTCAGATACGACCGAGTGATGATCGGCATCTGCTTGTACCATTCTTCTACAGCTTGAGCCATATTTTCCTCCGATCCAATCAAAATTCAACCTAGAAACCCAAACGGAATCTATGAAACAAAAGCTTTTTTCTTGATTTGCTGCAATCAGTTTTTCAGATTTCACCTATGCACAAACTTGTAAACAAACGAAATCGAAACTGAGAAAATTCGGTTTTTTTCTTCGTATATACAGAAATACTATTTGTGAATTAAAATGTTAGTATTACCATTAACATAGGCATCATATGGTT